TTTCAAAAGCGAATCTAGAAAGGTTATAGCAGACATTGTCACGATGTCAATCATCGTTGATGCATGACTATGCTTGCTTTCATTGTAAGAATATATTTGAAATATTTAAATATCTCTAGAAGGTGAATGAAACCTGCACACATTTGGTTAACTGTTTTTCAGGACTTATTTTCAGATTTCTGACGCAATACGCGGAGACGACACCACGCCACAAGCAAATTTCAAGTCGCTCCTTGCTTCATTCTACCTTCCCAATGTCCTGCTACTAGTCAGTGCAATATTATTCTTCTGCGCTGCATGTACATTTGTCAGGGACAACAAGAAATTCAAGGAAACACTGGGTCTGTCCTTTTCTATCTTCCGAAAATGGATGCTAAATAGCAGTAATTGTAGGTGTACCCGAAGCCGCTTCGAATTCAGTACAAGAAAAGGACGTTCCTAAAGTTACTGATGAGAACAAGGAGCCAAAGGCAGAGCAAGAAAATTCAGTTTAAACGATTCAGTTTCGTTTGAATTTCCTATGGCAATATAATAAAGTTTTTTTTTATTATTCCAGTATATTCCTGTTTCTCTTAGGTTCAATTTTCAAGGCCGATTTTCAATGGGTTCTGTCTCAGTTATTAAGAGCGCTTAAATCATTTTGTATGGGTTCATATTCATTTGCGTTTGATTAGCAACCAAAAAAGCAAAGATCTTGATGATCTAAAAACGCTGGTGTTCAGTGCTTAAAATTGTCTGAAGTTTATTAGTGAATTCTCAGCTATACCAGTTTGGAATACAAAAAATTCAGGAAGCTAACTATGAAAGCGCTGAAGTTAACAAACGGTGGGTGACAGTTGTACTATTTTACACAACAACATTCTAAGTCTTATATGGTGTCCCAAGTTGAATTTTGATGGGCTGGCCAACACTATATTTTCTGGAATCAATTTATCATATCATGATTACATAATGCGTTTAAGTTATTGTTTATATGTACAAGAATTTCAGATGCGCCCTTATAGCGCTTACAAATAAAGCATAACTGTATTCTACAATAATTATAATGATATTAAACGAATAATCCATGGAGTCAAAAATTTCTCAATGGCTTTGTTTTCTTTCGCAGATACCAACAACTACTTTGAAAAGGAGTTATACACCATCCAGGTACTCCAAAAATGTCCAAAACCATAAAGCCATTCTCCTTATTAAAAGTTGTATCCCAGACCAGCCAATGTTATGAACAAAACAAACAGCTAACAAGCTGTTGACTCTCTTCAGCCTTTCTGTGTCCCATGTTTATATAACTGAAATGCGTTTGAATGTATGTATCTGTATGTATGTATGTATGTATGTATGTATGTATGTATGTATGTATGTATGTATGTATGTATGTATG